TCTCTACTAAAAATACAAAAATTAGCCAGGCATGGTGTGGCGCATGCCTGTAGTCCCAGCTACTTGGGAGGCTAAGGCAGGAGAATCACTTGAATCCAGGAGGCGGAGGTTGCAATGAGCCGAGATCGCATCACTGCACGCCAGCATGGCGACAGAAGGAGATTCCATCTCAAAAAGAAATAGCCATGATTTTTCAGTCCATAAACAGGAACCGTGATATCCATAAACCTTTGTGACAGCTTTGAAGAGAAATCTCCAAACCCATAATGTGGTCAGACATTTGTGAATTTCATGCAAAGCATTACATTATAGGCTTTTAATGGATGGCAGCAGAGTGTGTAGTGGCTAAAAGCGAAGTTTGGTGTCCCATGGCTTCAGTTTGACTCCACATTTTCTCTACTTACCCAGACAGTGAAAGTAACTGATCTTCAAAGCAACTAAACCTTCATTTCCTTCTCTCTAACATGGGAATAATAATACTTTGCAGGTTTATGTAAATATTAAACAAAATATGCCTTATAAATTGCTTGGCTCCATGCCTACACACAGTAGGCGTTTAATAAATGTTAGCTGCTATCTCTAGGATATTCTATTTCCAAGAGAAAACTGGATTGTATATTGATGATATACAATCATTTCAGGAAATGAATTCTGAAAGCTCAAAGTCATTTGTTTGATTGACCAGGTCTAAGTGGGCCTTTTGTTTTTAAGTGTAATAAATGAATGATTTTAAACTGTTTCAGGTTTTAGATAAGGTTCTAAAGGGATGGCTCACACCCTGGCTGCACATTAAAATTGTCTGGAGGACTTTTCAAACCCTGATACCCATGTCTCAGCCTAGACTAATTAAGCGGGAGACTCTGGGGAAGGAAGCAATGCCTTAGAATATTTTTATGTATTTATGTATGTATTTATTTATTTATTTATTCATTCATTTTGAGGCAGAGTCTCGCTCTGTCACCCAGGCTGAAGTCCAGTGGTGTGATCTCGGCTCATTGCAACCTCAGGCCCCTAGGTTCAAGCAATCCTTTCCTTCAGCCTCCCAAGTAGCTGGGATTACAGGCGCCCACCACCACATCTGACTAATTTTTGTATTTTTTAGTAGAGATGGAGTTTCACCATGTTGGCCAGGCTAGTCTTGAACTTCTGACCTCAGGTGACCCGCCCACCTTGGCATCCCAAAGTGCTGGGATTACAGGCATGAGCCACCGCACACAGTCCATTTTTAAATCTCCTCAGGTGACTTCAATGATCAGCCAAATAAAGTCCTCATTTGCTCTAAAAATCTGAACCCACTTAGTAGTTGCATTAAAGATAGAAAAATAGCTCAAAAGTGGCACTGGTCAGTGCTAAAATGAAGTTTTCTGTGGGAGGCTGCTCCTATGCATGACAATGCTAAAATAGCACTAATTCTCATCTATGCCACTTTGTAAATGTCACAACAAGGCTCTACATTCTTAACAAAGCCCTGTAGAGATAGCCTGCCCTAAAGAATTAAAATTCACTTGACTCATTGGGATTAGCACTTGGTATTTTTCTCATAGCAAATATATTGGCAGTGCATGCAAAAAGATGGATAACTTCTACCAACCTCTGAAACTGAATTCCAGAATATCACTGACATACTATTAATTGTCTTATATCCTTGACATCTTTTAATTAAAAACTCAGGACTGGCCGGGTGCAGTGGCTCACGCCTGTAATCCCAACACTTTGGGAGGCCGAGGCGGGAGGATCACCTGTGGTCAGGAGTTCGAGACCAGCCTGGCCAACATGGTAAAACCCCATCTCTAAAACAACAACAACAACAAAAACTCAGGACTGCCTGGAGGGAGAGAAGAATGGGCAGTTATTGTTTAATGGGTACAGAGTTTCAATTTGGGATGATGAAAAAAATTCTGGAGATGGAGGTGATGGTTGTTGTTCTGTCTTCTTTTATGTTATAGCAGTCAAGTGCATCCATCCACAAGAGGAGACACAGGAGACATTCAGGAAAACATAGATATGGCGTACCACCCAGGGCCACATGAAAAGGCATCAGCTTCAGTCAGGAGACAGAGGGGCAGGAGGGAGGGGAGGACCTGGGCCAGGCCTTTATTGGATTTTCCACGAGAAAGGCAGAGCAGGGTAAACAGTTTAGAATTGGTTAGTTTGAATAATTTCAACAGCTCTAAGCTATAGAGGTGGTCCCTAATTGCCTGCTACCTGGCACTGGAATGACTGAAGCAGAGGAATAAATATTTTCTCTGGGTGTATGGGATAGATAGAAGAGTTCTGGCCCTGAATAGTTTAGTCTGTGTATCAAAGACATGCTCCCGGCCTAACTCTTCGCTATCTCTAAGAATTAGCCCCAGGAGGAGCAGTCTCTCCCCAGCCAAGAAGAATTTAAGATATTAAAACATAATATGCAGAAAGGTGAAAATATAAACAATATGATTGCACCACAATGTAACTGTATTTAATATATAGCTGAAAATGGCAAAATGGTAAATTTTATATTTATTTTACCACAATCTTTTTAAATCCCAGCATCCATAAGATCAAAAATATAGTAATCTAGGCAAAAGATAAGAACCAAAAGAAAAAAATGGGGAGGTAGAAGACAAAACTTACATCAAGAATTTTGAGGGTCACTAAAGTATGTCTCTTCTCCAAGTATAAAAGAAGGAACTGGCCAAGTATGGGGGCTCATGCCTGTAATCCCAGCACTACGGGAGGACGAGATGGGCAGATCACTTGAAGTCAGGAGTTTGAATCCAGCCTGTCCAACATGGTAAAACCCCGTCTCTACTAAAAATACAAAAATTAGCCAGGCATGGTGGCGGGCACCTATAATCCCAGCTACTCGGGAGGTTGAAGCAGGAGAATCACTTGAACCCGGGAAGCAGATGTTGCAGTGAGCCGAGATCACGCCACTGTACTCCATCCTGGGCGACAGAGAGACTCCGTCTTGGGGGAAAAAAAGTGCAAATTTTAAGCAATTCTCAAAATTACCCAGCATAGTAGATGAAAAGGAAAGGAAACAGTACAGAATTGCTTCATCCTCTAAAACCATTTTTCACTTCTCATTATTCTGTCACGCTCTAAAGACATTCAGGAACTCTGGTGTTGGTCATTCTCCCCTAAAAACCTGACTCATCTTAATGTGTGAAGCTGCAGCACTAGAGTCTATGCCTTTTCTGCACTTCTTAGTTGGCCAATTCAGTGTTAACATGTTCTCTGGCTAAACTAGATCATCAACTCAGCTGCGGGCCCTTTCTACAGAAGTGCTCAGTTACGCATCATGTGCACACGTATGAGTGCATATGTAATAATTAATGTGCTTTAATCTGTAGATCTACATGCATCATTATCCTGAATTTCTTACCTCCAAATCACTACTTTAATACACCAGCCTGTATAGTTTTCATCCAAAATAGTTTAACTGACAAAACTATTGCTCCATTGTGTCTCCTCACCTAGCTTTCCTCTTCTCGCTATAATCTGGGAAACCCACCATCAATTCTTCTTTTTCCTTACTCATTTGCCAAATCTTTTCTCCATTCCCTATGCCAAGATTCTCGGGCATAAACACCTATGGCTGCCAAACCTTCCTGCTCTTGTCCTAACATAAGCAAACCGAAGTTGACTACCCTTTGCCCTCTCTGCAATTTGCTTTGTATATCTAGTTGTCAGATGCCTGCAGAGTAAGTACTAGGAGAAAGGAAACAAGCTGCTCCTTCTTCTGTAGAAGGAGAGTGAAGAAAAGAGGGGATAGCTCTCTAAAACCATTGGTAAGAAAGACCCTGGAGTCTTATAAAGCAATGGTTTTAAATAGCTAGGTGTGATCCATCCTTGTTTTCCTCTTTTCCGTGAGCTCTGTGGAAACGTGATCTTTATCACGATGCACTATTCCGTTCCTTCCAACCAAGCAGATATCTGTCGCTCCCTAAATATCTAAGAAATCGTTTGAGAGCTGGTAGAGTTTGGTTCACAGATAAAGATGTGTCAGCTTTCCAGTGTTCAGGACATTGTTCTGAGGCCTTTGCTCTAATACAGGCCTGCATGTAGCACACAGTGAACACTGCACTGCCATCAGGAGAGTTAGAATTTGCATCCTAATTTAGCCACCAACCAGCCCTGGGTACTGGCGCAAATTACCTAATTTTCTATACCCCAGTGTCTGCATTTATAAGATGGAGCTAATAACAATGAATATTGTGGAACACTTACGATGTGAGCGCTGATCTAAGTAGCTTACACATATCCCTTCCTATCCTCCTTTCAGCAACTCTATGAAGTGGGTATGCTATTATTGTCACCCATTTTAAAGATGTGGAAACTGAGGCACAAAGGCTCATTATTAGTATCTTGCCTTTGGTCCCAAAACTGTATGCAGAGCTAGGATTCAAACCTAGTCCAATGGCCAGAACTCATACTCCCACTGAGGGTGCTCCATTGCAGACCCTGTCTCACTGAATTGTGATCATTAGATTTAGTATTTGGAAGTAAATCTAACATTTTATTAATTTTCCTGAAGTTCACTTCCCTGTCCGTTAAAAAGAGACAATCTATAATTTTCAGAGTTTCTATAAGGAGTAGAGATAAAGTGGGCTTAGTATCCAGAACAATTCATGACACATATATTAGGTTATTGATACATTGGAGCTACTAATATTATTGTTATTTATATTATTAAAATATTCTACTCCAGGTGACAAGAAAAGTTTATTTATTTCTCTCCATTCCCAATGACACCAGGACATTGTGCATGGTGTTAATGTTAATTGCATTCCACAGAAAACATGCTTTTCATTGAGTTCAAGGGGGAAAAAATACGTTCATTGTGTTACAGTTTACATAAGGAAGAAAGGTAAGATTCCTGCTCCCAACATTTCATTCCCCACCACTACCACAGACAAAACATGGTTTTGCTTTTAAATCTCAAGACATAATATAGGACTAAGGCTGTCCGCTGCTACGATGTGAAACTAACATTTTTCCCCTTTGCTTCTTTATAGATTTTTGCATATATGAACGAAACCTCTTCGCGAAAGGAAAAGTGGGACCTCCAAGCTCTTAGATTTTTATCAATCAATTCAATAATTGACCCTTGGGTCTTTGTCATCCTTAGGCCTCCTGTTCTGAGACTAATGCGTTCAGTCCTTTGTTGTCGGATTTCATTAAGAACACAAGATGGAACACAAACTTCCTGTTCTACACAGTCAAATGCCAGTAAACAGGCTGACCTCTGAGGTCAGTAGTTTAAAAGTTCTTAGTTATATAGCATCTGGAAGATCATTTTGAAACGGTTCCTTGGAGAAATGAAAACAGTGTGTAAACAAAATGAAGCTACCCTAATAAAAAGGAATATACAAACATTTAGGCTGCGGTCAAGGCTACAGATGTGCTGATAAGGCACTTCATGTAAAGTGTCAGAAGGAGCTATAAAACCTATCCTCAATAAGCATGGCACTTGGCCTTTGGAGGAACAATCAGCTGCATTTAAGATCTCATTGCCTTTTGATTTAAGCTTTCCTTTGAATGACAAAGCATGTGGTTTTGTAATTTGTTTAAAACCCCAAATAGTGACTGTATTTTCTATTTTAATCTTGCTACTACCGTTATAAACATTCCGTATACAGCCAGACCACATTAAACATCATAAGTATTCTCTAGAAGTTGATATGTGGAAGCAACCAACCTGCTGTCTTGTGATCACTTAATGAACCATTTATTTGAACAATGAAGTTGAAAATCATAGGCACCTTTTACTGTGATGTTTGTGTATGTGGGAGTACTCTCTCGTCACTACAGTGTTACTCTTACAAGAGTGAAGTCAGTTGGTTAACATCAGTTTTGTTTACTCATCCTCCAGGAGCTACACATCAACACGTCAGGTTATTTATTTTATAATGTCCGTTTGCTAACAGTGATCAAGAAGACTTGTTCTCTCAACAAGCAACAATAGAAATGTTTCAAGAGAGTTAATTCTCATTAATATTCTTTATCCTATTTCCAGGAGAGGATGTACGTGGCCATGTATAAAGCCAACTATTAGGATTAAAAACTGAAAAATCTGGTTCATTCTTCAGATATACTGGAACTCTTTTAATGTTGATATTGGGGCCATGAGTAAAATAGACTTTATAAGATGACTGTGTTGTACCAAAATTCATCTGTCTATATTTTATTTAGGAAACACGGTTTGACTCATATTATATGGGAAATCATGTAGCAGTGAGTCATATCTTAATATATTTCTAAATGTTTGGCATGTAAATGTAAAGTCAGCATCAAAATATTTCAGTGAATTTGCACTGTTTAATCATACTTACTGTGTAGACTCATCTGAAATGTTACAAAATAAACTATAAAACAAAAATTTGAAAACAATACTATTTTATGAACTTCCTCAAATAACATTTTGCGATTAATATAAACATAATATCTTTTAAATGAGATCAAAGTGGAAAAATTATATTTAATTTGGCAGATTTGTAAAGTGTGATTGTCAGGTTTTTAAAGTGTGGTTGCAAATTAGAGATTAAAATATTCATTATAATATTTGGTATTGGAAGATATTTTTTTTCTTTCAGTTTTTACCCTTTCAGTATGGTCTTTAAAATAGTAGAACCATCTTATTTTTTGCATAGTGTTATGATAGGATAAACATTTACTTAAAAAAAGAAGAGACGGATGCTCGTTTTCTCCAAAGTCTCATTGTTTATCCAAAACTATTTTCTTTAAGTAGTTATCAAACTAGATGATCACTTAGAATGATTTCAAACCAATCTAGGCAACAGTGTATTTTGATACAAACAATCTACGTCAAATCAGCTCTTATTTTTAAGAAGAATAAATAAGTGGTTGGCTTTTCTACAAATTTAAACAAGCCAGGCAAAATTTAACTCAACTAAAATCTGGACATGTAAATAAATCTTCCCTGTCCACCAGGCATTCTAAAGTTAAGAAATTATTCTACATGGAACTAATTAGGCCCATGGGTAATTCCTAAACATAAAATTCTGAAGTTGCTTTGAATCTAGAAGATTGATTCCTTTTATCAGATGACTTTTTTTTCTCCAGATGAAAATGTCAACAACAATTTTTCAGCCCACCTTACCACCCCCCTAAAATTCCAGAATAATGCCTGAGAACTGAAAACAAGAATGCAAAATTGGACATAATATCACTAGCAGCAACAAAATTATTCACTCTGGGAGCCCAAAGTATAAGAATTTAAGCCACTTATTTGAGCACTGGTATATATCTAGAACTTTGTTTCCTCATGTATTCCTGTTCCATGCACTGTGCTGAATGACTAAATCCTGGTATTTCATTTACACCAATATATATGTAGAAGAACTTGAAAGTCAAAATCCTCTGTAATAGTCATTACCTCCTATTAATAGCAATTTAAAGGTAACTTAGAAAAAAATTACTAAAATTAGATATGTAAATAATCCCTTTCTAAAAATTCTATCACATTAGACATACCTGTTTAAGTTATTGCTTCATTTTCAAGTTAAATAAAAGAACAGAATTTACTTAGCCTGATATATTAGAAAACTGAATTGTGATAAAAGAAGACTTAGACTTTACTCTTTGCCCTTAATAGTCAGAATGAAAAGGGAGAAAGAAACTATAGTGGGTATTCCCCGCAGCATGACAGCCCTAAGTTTAGGTGTTTGGATGTGGGATGGACCAAGCTGTCTGCTCTGAGCTGAGTTATTCCTAAATGGTTCAGTGTGGCCCTGGTCATCTTTTCCAAGAAAGAAATGGAAAATTCTGGTGCTAAATTGTGGCCTTGAATCTCCAAAAATCTGATCGGGATCTGAGTTTGCTTAGAAGGTACAAGATGACTCTGGAAGACCTGCATCACAAAGTGGGTGAGAGCCATGACAACCCAGAGCGAGACCGAAACTCTAGAAACCATTCCAACCTCAAACCATGATGCTTGCAGAGGCCCCAAACCCTGAGGAGGGAGGGCAAAACTGATTCACATCGCTACTTGCTCGGTGTAATTCAGTTAAACCTTGGCGTCTCTGTCTCCTCAGCATCAGTGCACTTTGAGAGAGGGATTGTTCTAACGCTAATGGCGGATCAGCTCTGATCTGAACCAAGAAATAACAACACATTCCGGTTTAGAATTTGACGCCTTTGAAAGGCAGAGAATAACTCTCACTTAGGCAGAGTTTTGTTTATTTCACTTAGCTTAAGCCAAATCTAATGGTTTTTGGAACTTGGGAAGAGCCGCTACTTAAGCCATTTACAGAGAGAGATGCATTCCTCTCTATAAATGAGTATTTCATACGTGTCAACTTGCAATGCCTACTCTTACTTGCTCTGTTACATCTGAATAATTTGATGTCTCTCTTCTGCATTCATCAAACACTCACTACATTGTCTTTCCTTTCATCACCTAACAGCATTATAATTGATTTTTAAATTGACAAGGCATTTTGATGACCTAAAATATATACTTTGGAAAGAAGTATTATTTTAGCAATTCACAAAAGCTACATTTTAATTTATACATGGGCCAAGGTCATGTATTAGGCATTACTTATTTCTGAAGATTACTTTTTTTTCCCCTGGCACCTTTTGTGTTACTATGCAAAAAAAAAAAAAAAAATTAAGTACATTTTCTTGAATGAGATATTTTTATTTCTTATGAAATGTATGTACTATTTAAGGTCAATTTTAGTGGTTTAATTCTGTGATCCATCTATTTCATGGTACATGATAATTCCTAATAAGTAAGGTTAGGGACTAGTATCATCTTAGATGCCCTTCAGTGGCCCCTGTGATCTCTTTACACACACCTGGCTCTGATTTCTGATTCTCAGTGGTGCTGGTGGGTACTGGGGATGATGCTATATATTTCTTAACTCCAAGTAACTGTCAAGAAAAATGACAATACACAAACAGGACATATTTGCATTTCATAGAATGCAATGAAGATTAGTACACATGGGAGAATGTAGAGGAATGTGTAAGTATCAAAGAGAGTGGAACAAGAGAGACAGAAAAACAACAGGGCATATGACACCCCACCATTTTGGTGCCCTCCTCCAGATCTTATCCAAGTTATCAATGCCCATCTAAAAACAGTGGGCCAGAACCAAACACCAGTAATTCTAAACCAGTCTTACCAGTACTGAAAGCTGATATGTCACTTCCTGGCTTAATCTGGATATTATGTTTCTATTAATGTAACCTGGGATTACAAAGCTATCTAGAAGCCAGGTCGTATCTTTAAAACCTCCAACAGATGGAAGAAGCAACAGCATTCCAGTTTACATAGAGGAAAACTGGGTATGCAGTGGGCAAGTGAGTTGGTCGCTAGGGACATCCTCATAAGATAACCTTATGATTGTGGTGCTTACCTTGCCAACCTGAGATCACACAGTCATTTAGTTTCTCTCTTGCCTCTTATCTCTTGCTTTTGGATTGGCCATGTATACTAGGGATGGGGAGCTTTGGGTTTGTCAGTTGAACCTGGTCTTTTGGGTTAATAATTTTGCCCCTGAGATTGTGTGGAACTGGATGCCAGTGCCCTACCCCAGAGAACAGGAGTTCTCTTGAAGTGGAGCTCACTGCTTTTAGTTATCAAACAATATTTTTACTAGAGTTAATTGGCAATACTCATCTCAGTCCGTAAGACTGTGCCTGATATATCATGATAAACAAAATGTTTAAAAATTCAACAGCTGCACAAGTAAACCTTTGAAGATATAGTGGAGACTTTTTCAGCTCTTAGAGAGCTTCTCAGTGTGTTCACATTGTGAAGTGCTCGGAGGAACAAGCCAAAAAGCCCCTAGATGTTTGAAAACCCAATGATGTCCTCGTGTTCCCCGTAGGATGAAAGGTATTATAGCCAAAACACTGTGGGCTGCATGCTGTGGTGTACTATTCTCTGACCCGTAAAAATAAATTTTTCTGGTGTGAGTAGGCATTCCGATAAAAGAAGAGCAAGCCTAATTGTAAACTAGGGACTTTATTCTCTTGACTACCTATTATGGTGATGGGGGAGCTGGACACCCACTCTGAGAGGAAACACTTTCAGATGTTCACATCTTTCCATAACATGCCAGTCTGGAACACTAAGGAAGGTGAAGAGTCAGATTCCTGTCTTTGTTCTATAAATTTCTTCTGCGTTTCCAATGAAGTTATAGTGAACTACAATGGTTACAAAGAAATGCTAAATGGAGAAACAGAATTATCCTGTTACCAGTATTAAAGGCTTTTTTGAATAATAAGGACTTTCCTTTGTTTATCTATTTGAGCACATTAAAATGCTACTAACTGGAATCCTTCATAGCAGGAATTTTGGATTAAGGGACAAATCACATGGGGGAAAAAAGCCTGATAACTTTATTTTTAAACTAACACACAGAAAGGTTAAGTGAGAATCATGACACTGGGATTGGTATGCAGACATCTGATGGGGAGATTTTCCATCTAGGTGAACTTTCCATTACCCAGGCCTCCTCTCTCTCCATCTGCTCATTGACTCCAACCACACTGGCCACCATGCTGTGCCAGTAGTACACTCAGCAAGCTCCCATCGCAGGGTCATTGCTCTGGTTGTTATCTCTACCTGCAACAAATGCTCTTCCCCTAGGCAGCTCTGGCTCACTTCCTCACCTTCTTCAACATTTTGCCCCAGAGATGCCTCCTCAGTAAGGCCATTACTAAGCCCTCTTCCTAAAACCACATACCCCTGCCCTCCTCATGCCCTTTGCCCTCCTCTATCATTTCCCCATATGAATGACCTTAAACATACCTCAAGATTGACTTATATATAATACTCATGGTCTGTCTCCACCGAGTAGAACGTGAGTCCCAAGGACAGAGATTGCTGCCTGTTTTGATGTCTAATGTGATGGTATCTCACCCTTGCCAAGTATTCTATACACATGGAATTGTATCTTATACATTTCAAGGCCTTTTTTATTTTTTATTTACTCAGTGTGTTAACAGCAGTGAGGCCATATGGGTCTGCAGCAACTCCATTTTTGCCTCCTAGGCAAAAATTCAGCCGAGGGGCATAAGGCAGAGGGAGAAACTGAGGCAGTTTTAGAGCAGGAGTGAAAGTTATTGAAAAGTTATAAAGCAGGAACTAAAGGAAGTCAAGAACACTTGGAAGAGGACCAAGCAGGTGATTTGAGAGATCCAAGCATGCTGTTCAGCCCTTTACTTGGGGTTTTATACATTGGCATAGTTTCAGGGTTTCTGTTTTTCCTCCCTTGATTTTTCTCTTGGGGTGGGCTGTCCGCTTGCACAGCTTGCAGTGGCCTGCCAGCACGTGGGAGGGGCCACATGCAAGGTGGTCACTAAAGTTGTACGCATGCTCATTTGAGGCATTTTTCCTTTACCAGTCATGTGTTCTAAAAGGAGGGCCATATACCTGTTAAACTCCGCCATTTTGCCTCTTAGTGCACATGCTTGAGCCTGCTCACCCAGCTCCTGAGATCTTACTGGGAAGGTGCTGATCACCACTTTCAGGTGTTCTCTATCTATTGAGACGCAGCCTTTCCCTGGCACCAGATGCCACCAATTATTGTTTTCGAGATAGTTTAACAACCAGCTGACTATTACTTGATGGCTGCCTGACATTCCTGGGATGGGGGCTCTCCTGTTCACTCATGTCTGCCTAGCTACCTACTCTACCAAGTATCTTCTT